GGGGGGGGGGGGGGGGGGGGAAGGGGTGGGAGGGGCGGCGGAAGACCTGTCGCCCTCTAGATCGCCAATAGGCGCACAACTACGTCAGATTTTTCGACATTCTTTTTCTACATATTTCGGTCAGTATCCACCGCCTGTTCGATGTATGTGCGTCAACTGTTCGGAGATCGCCCAAATGGTCGTCTACTGCCACTCATTGACACATACACACACATACCCACACACACACTCACATACACCCACACATTCAGACAGATACACACACACTACATCGGTTGTCAGCAAGATGTGCAACATGCTCTGCCTAACAGATTTTACTTGCTTGCACGATGATAAAGTTATTGTAATGCCAATGCACTCAATGTATCGCTGTCTCACATGGAAATTTTCAAAATTACGGTCAAAAAAATTCAAAAAATTACCTTCGTGGAAACTAGTCGTTGCAGAATTTCGGCTACATCATCTGGCTTTTCAAGCTTTATCAAACACTGGCACATCGACACGAAATCCGGCTCATCCAATTCAGCGAATAAACGAAACAACAAATCCAGCACGATACTCCGGAATGCACGATCCATTTGAGACTCCAGTACTTTGGCCACCGTTTCGGTTAACAGTGTTGCCTGATCATCGGATGCCTGAAAAACTTTTTCGCCTAAAAAATAAAAAAATTTAAAAGTAAAAGTAAATAATGAAATGAAATTTATAAAAGTAAAAAAAAAAACAAAAAAATTAAGAATGAAAAAATTTACAAATTAAAAAAACAAAAAATCTAAAAAAGTAAACAAATTTTTAAAAAAATGAAAAAAGAAAAAAATTTGAAAAGGCAACAAGAAAAATCGTCCCAGATTTTTGGATCAGCTATAACTCATAATCTAATTTTCCATCTAAAATGGCTACTTCTTCAGTTTCTCTAACCAATATTGCATTTTCTGGCGATCAGCCTATAGATGATTCTAACGTTCGCTTCGTCTTTTGCAAGGGTAACCAGTTCAACGGTTTTTCAGAGCGAAGTAACTGACAATGTTTCGAAAAACTGCCCAATCTCCACATATTTATTCTCATCCCCTAATCCGCCCGATTTTACTTTCATCAGTCATATGGATTCTTCGAATCAATATTCCTAAGATTTACTGGTGACCCGCCGAAATAAAAACTTTTTAACAAAAAGAAAAGAAATAAAGAGGCGGAAGAAAAAATGAGGAAAAAGGAAAAAAGATGGTAAGCAATGCAAATTAAAAAAATTTGTGGGATTATATTATAATGGTAAGAAATGTTTCGGTCCATTAAGTCGTATACATTTCTTTCCATTACCACAACTAGATCTCGCCCAAGCGCCCTCATTTTCGGCAGTAAACAGTTGGTGGTAATAAAAAAAACAATGATTCTCCTACCTTAAAAGCGGCCATAATCATATCTGTTCTACGTGTATCCAGTGCCAATCCAATTACATATCTCAATTCACGTCGTTTCATGTTTCGCTCGAACAGCCGATTGATCAGTCGCTCAAGGCGTGGATCGATCGTATCCTCATTTCGTTTCGCTTTTTTGTACGTATCCAGCGCATGCTCGATTATTTTGTTCACATACTGAAAAAACAAAAAGAGAAAATCTGGGGATCAAATACTTCTGTTCATATTTGTTCCTCAGCTTTTTTTTCAGTAACCACGCTTCAAACTGAGACCTAAATATCAGGAGATAATAAAGGATTGGTTTAAAATCATTTTTAGCTGAGATATTTTAAGCAGTCCAGTTTTTATGCCTTTTAACATTAAACACAGAAATAGAACGAGAGAGGCCGTAGAAGGCCGAACCAAAATTGAACGGTCCGGGTGGCGCCGCCGAAAAGGGTAAAGTTGTAAAGTGGGGCTTTTTGCGGCCGTTGGTAGGCCGAACCACACCTTCTGAAACAACGGCCTTTACAAACCAAAGAAAATTACGAACGGCTGAATTCGGAAGTAGAATACAACCTGCGAGTAGAAGTGGGAATCATCAGTACAGCCTCCTATCTGACATGCTTATAATGCGCGTATATCTAACCGTTAAAGATTAGAGTGAAGAAAAAATAAGGAAGAATAGGAGGGGAACGGGGAAAGAGGAATTTCATAGATATAAGTTGCATACTTAAAATCATCCTAAACTATGAAGATTAGTAACGGAACGAGTTGAAAACTAGATCTTTCGTTTTTCTTTTCTCCTCCACTTTCGCTCCTTCAACATGCTAACAATACCAAGGAAGTGTAAATATCACTATCATAAGACCAAAGCAAATATGAAATTTTGCATCTAAAATCATCTCAAATCCAACTTTTGATTGCTCTTCAGTGAATTTTGTCGGTTGGTTAATGATAATCCTCGTAAACAGGTTCCATGAAAAAGACAATTTCCCTGACAGTTTTTTACGTCTTCAAGCAATTCCCGTTAACCAAAATCCCTCTGGAAAAGAAGGAAAAAATGCAAAAAATATGTCCCACCTGTTCATCTTGTGAGCCAACAAGAACAGATGATGGTCGTGGCGTAAGTTGGAACTTATCCTCAGCAGCTAATGCAAGATTGAGTGCGCCATTGTAATCACCCAAGCAGTAGGCAACCTGGAAATAAAAAATTACATTAACAGAAGAGCCAAATACATCATTTTGATAAAAAAAAATCGCTTAGCCTATAAGACGCCCAAACGTGGTCCTACAGTAGCAAATCCAAGGACTAGGGGAAACCGTAAGTAGGAAGCAAGTAGACAGCAGTACCTATTTCGGGGATGGGGACCCGTACATGCGTGTTGATTAAGTTGCCAAATTTTCAGCCTTGTAGTTTTTTTAGGTCTCGAGATGAAAAGTCGGTACAGACGCATGTACACACACACATAAACCTCCGACAATATGCGTTTCCTGCATTGCGTAGATGCAAAAAACTCACGAAAATTACACAATAGATTTTATAAAGAATTATAAAATATAAAATCCTAAAAACTAAACTAAAATAAAAAGAAAACAGATTTTAAAAGAAAACAGATTTTAAAAGGAAAATAGATTTTAAGAAAAGAAAATAGATTTTTTAAAGAAAATAAAACAAGAAGAAAATAGATTTTATTAAAAAGAAAATATTTTATTCATGCTTTTAATACTTGTTTCTTCGAGACCCCCTCTCGAATACCTTCATTTCTCAAAATTTCTCAAAGTTTTAATTGAATATAGGGGAGTGGGGGGATTTTGACTTGTCTTGTGCCAAAAAAAACGACCTTCGAAGCAAGTAGAGCAGCTCGATGGCGTTCACTGAAATTCTCGTTCTCATGAAGACCTTCGATAACACTCAGGTAGTCGGCAACCTCGAACCAAGTTGGTGTCAAAACATCCCAATCGTCCAGTGCTTCGATGATTAGCTGTTTTTCGCGCATCGATGACTGCTCACTTTTTAAAGCTAGCAAAAAAGCGCCTGCAAAAATTCGTCACACAGTTCGATCCATCACATAGTGCCAAACTTTCATGATCTACATTTTTCAAAAAATTTCCAAAAAAATTAGAAATCGCATGATCTAATGAAATTTTTTGGCTTTTTTTTTCAATCTTTACACATATGCTCAGGTACTTCGATTTAACAAAAGATGATAAATTTCTCATGATCTAATGACAATTTTTAGATGGTTTTTTTCTCCCGAATCTTTGCACAAGCGCAATTCCCCGTAATCCATAAGATATCCATATCGAATAATGGCAAAAATCTGGGACGATGTGAACTAAAATGGAGTGTGACATGATATCTGCTCTCCGAAAGCCTTCAGATCAGCGCGCTAAAAGAAGTTCTCAAAAGTTTGTATGTAACAGATGGAATCAGTGACGGCGAGAAACCGCAGATGCTACTATTTGCGGGCGACATGTCCCTGTCAGAGAAAGCCCATAATCGCTGCAGAATCTGCTAAACGAGCTCGTAGCAAAAACTTGGAAATGGCTGAATGTTATAGAAATTTTAGAGATACAAACAACGAATATCCCTGGCTAGGAGACTGACTGGAAGAGGACGGAGGCCTGGGGAGTCTCACCGGTTACCTCGGCCACGAAAGCCGTTACATTGCTAATCCTTTTGGGAGACAAAGCTAACGTTAGGGTCACTAAAATGCTGGTTATCAGGTGCTGAACATTGGTTAAAATAACTAGAATAAAAACTGCCAGCTATATAAACATATGCCAATGAATTATTATATCTGATCCAAATATGAATGTGAAAGAGTGTAACGATCAGATCTACTTGTGTGTTTGTGTATGTATGTCTATGCATGTATGTATATTTGTGTGTGTGTTTGTGGGTGTGTATGTGTGTGTGTGTTTGTATGTGTTTGTGTATGTGTATGTATGTATGTGTATGTATGTGTGTATGTTGTGTGTATGTGTGTGTATGCATCTAAAATGTAATTTCACAAACAAATCGATAGTGCACACTAATTTCGATGAACAGAAATTAACAGTGGTAATGACATACTTGCATCTTGCGCACCGCCTGGCTGGTTGCGCCATTGATTCAGCAGATAAAGCGTCATCTCCTGAAAAAAGATCACCCTGTAGCAAGCAAATAATTTGAAATCAAAAAAACAAATTACAGCGCTTTGCCACCCATAAACCGAGCCTATTTCGCTACTCGTTGGCACGATGAATTCCTGCCTTGTTACCAGTCCTTTTCCAGAACCCCATTTTATGTGTTATGGTGATTTAACATTAAAATTATGAAATGTAGCAAAACTGAAACTTTGAAAGCACAGGTTGCCTCGCCATAGTTCAAATTCTTTCGTTCCCTTTAACACGACAAACTGGACCTACTTCGTTACTCGTTAGCACGACGAATTTGACCTGTTTCGTTACCAATTCTTGTAGCACATCGAACATATAAATTATAAATCACTATTAATATCACTTTATCAGATTTATTATATTTCCCACATGCCACTACTAATATCTAAACATTTTAACACAGTGGACTGAACCTAATTCGTTACTCGTTAGCAGGGCGAACTGGACCTGTCCTGTTATCAGCCGATAAGACCGAACATAAAAATTATAAATCCTTACTAAAATTTTCTTTAACAGATTTATTATATTTCATACATGTCACTACTAATAACAACAAGTTTTAACCAGCCAAACTGAGCCTACTTCGTTACTTACTGGCAGGACAAATTGTACCTGTCCTGCTACTAGTTGACAAGACAAATCGGACATACAAATCAT